TCAAACCGAGGATATGGTGGAGATATGTCGATGACACTTTCGTGGTTTTCCCTCAAGGAGATGATAAATTGAATGAGTTTTTAGAGCATCTTAATAGCGTTTCATCCTCCATAAAACTAACCATGGAGGTGGAATCACAAAACAAACTCCCCTTTTTGGACGTGTGCGTAGAAAAGCATTTGAACAGTCTCAGAACATCTGTTTATAGAAAAAAGACACACCCAGGGCAGTATCTAAACTTTTAATCAAACCACCAAATTTCTGTCAAGAAGGGGATTGCTTACTCTCTGTTTGGCAGGGCTAAGAGCATTTGCTCCAATCCGGATGAGTTAAAGGATGAAATTAAGAAAGTAGAACAGGATTTGGCTAGTAACGGATACCCTCGATCCATTATAAACAAATGCAAGAAAGATAGGGCTACGCGTGAACCTTTACAAAATCGCAAGGAAAAACTCGTCCACATGTCAATCCCGTATGTGTCAGGTCTGTCGGAAAAAATCAGAAGGGTTGCTAGAAAATTTAATGTGCAAACAGCATTTAGGACACAAAACACACTTAGGCAGAGTCTCGTCAAAACAAAACCCAAAAATGACACTCAGGATACTAAAAACTGTGTTTACAGAATAAATTGCAATGATTGTTCCAGGCCTTACTATGGCGAGACAAAAAGACCGTTGAACATTAGAATCAAAGAACACAGAGAAAACACCAAAAAAGGTTTAGTAGAAAAATCTAAGATCGCTCATCATTGCTGGTCCGAAAATCATCGTATGAATTTTGAAGAGGCAAAAATTGTCCATAAGGAACCTCATTTTTTCAAACGTAAACTCATTGAAGCCTCATACATTAAATTAGCAGACCAACCAATCAGTCAGTCATCGGTTGAAATAAGGCCACTTTGGCTACCCATTTTGAACAAGGAACTAAAGGATAGGGAACTTAATTGTTCAATAAATAGGGAAATAACGAGTTCTCCTCATAATTCGCACGTTATGTTAACTCGTAGTAAAACTCGTGATAGGAATAAACATAATTAACACCCATCTTGCGGCATCGTACATCGCTCCGCCATTTTGTTGGTTTTACTTTTCCAGGGACCGGAAGCCATTTCTGTTGTCTCCGTGTTTCCGATTGGTCAGCCATGTTGGTTCAGTCTCATTGGTGGAGTCATAGCGTACGGTGTTGTTAGTGTTCCATTGTGTGAGTTTTTTGTACGTAAACCTTTTATAGATTATAGTGTTTTGTGATTTGTTATTAATTGCATGTTGTATCATGACTTGATTGCTATACAGTGCATATTTTTTGACTACTACCCTCGGTAGTGTATTCCAACTTAGGTTGGGCGTTTGTGTATTGTTAGTTGTAATGCGTTAGTTAAGTTTTTTTCACCTGAAGACGGGATCAGATTCCAGATCCCGAAACGTTGTGTATTGTTTTTTACATTCGTGATGGAAAATGTCCGCAATAAACCTTTGAACAACATTTAAATGCTTTTGTTAAATAGGTGTTAAATTGGAAATAATGTTTCCGATGTGATTGAATTTAACATGAATGAAAACGTGATATATTTCCTTTACAATATAACAATTCTCCATTTGAATCGCTGAGCTGTACAGTTAAAAATAAATAAATACAGATAGATACAGTAGTAAAACAATATTATTTCATCGTTTTTGCATCTTATGTAAAAAAGACCAAAATATGTACCTTGGTTCCTAGTATTATTACTATAACTTTTGAACCAAACAAATAACTAGGATTGCTTTCATAGCAGTGAAAGCCAGCTGAGCGGAGCAATCATGTTTCATGATTTTTATTGAATCAATAAATACAAAAATGTGCTATTAGCGTACGGTGTTGTTAGTGTTCCATTGTGTGAGTTTTTTGTACGTAAACCTTTTATAGATTATAGTGTTTTGTGATTTGTTATTAATTGCATGTTGTATCATGACTTGACTGCTATACAGTGCATATTTTTTGACTACTACCCTCGGTAGTGTATTCCAACTTAGGTTGGGCGTTTGTGTATTGTTAGTTGTAATGCGTTAGTTAAGTTTTTTTCACCTGAAGACGGGATCAGATTCCAGATCCCGAAACGTTGTGTATTGTTTTTTACATTCGTGATGGAAAATGTCCGCAATAAACCTTTGAACAACATTTAAATGCTTTTGTTAAATAGGTGTTGAATTGGAAATAATGTTTCCGATGTGATTGAATTTAACATGAATGAAAACGTGATATATTTCCTTTACAATATAACAATTCTCCATTTGAATCGCTGAGCTGTACAGTTAAAAATAAATAAATACAGATAGATACAGTAGTAAAACAATATTATTTCATCGTTTTTGCATCTTATGTAAAAAAGACCAAAATATGTACCTTGGTTCCTAGTATTATTACTATAACTTTTGAACCAAACAAATAACTAGGATTGCTTTCATAGCAGTGAAAGCCAGCTGAGCGGAGCAATCATGTTTCATGATTTTTATTGAATCAATAAATACAAAAATGTGCTATTAGCGTACGGTGTTGTTAGTGTTCCATTGTGTGAGTTTTTTGTACGTAAACCTTTTATAGATTATAGTGTTTTGTGATTTGTTATTAATTGCATGTTGTATCATGACTTGACTGCTATACAGTGCATATTTTTTGACTACTACCCTCGGTAGTGTATTCCAACTTAGGTTGGGCGTTTGTGTATTGTTAGTTGTAATGCGTTAGTTAAGTTTTTTTCACCTGAAGACGGGATCAGATTCCAGATCCCGAAACGTTGTGTATTGTTTTTTACATTCGTGATGGAAAATGTCCGCAATAAACCTTTGAACAACATTAACTCACCATCACCAACAATGAACTTCAAACAAAGCATTTAAATGTTTATTTTTATAAACATTGATCATGTAACCTGATCAATAAAGATAGATAAGAGATAAAATAAAAGATCAGGGGCCCATTTCATAATAAACTACAAGTTACAAGTAACAACTTGTAACCATCGAGTAATAATAGAGATCGATGCTTGTAACTTGTAATTTCCATTAGATTTGCATTGAGCGATCAGCTGATTTACTAATAATATTAGTTTGTACTTTATTATGAAATGGGCCCCAGGGGTGTATTTTAAAGATCAAGAAAAACATAGCTGGATAACATAAATATACAAAAATCATACGAACCGTTTTGTTTTTATACTAGCTGTTGTACCCGTGCTTTGCAACGGGAAGATGACACAAAATAGAACATTTTAATCTTTACATCTGTCGCATATAATACTGTAGTTACACCTCCCGCCAACGCTTATAGAAACACAATTCAACTTTTATGGCCTTAATAGAAACGTTTAAGCATAGATAAAACGGACTATGTTTTATCTATGGTTTAACACGTTCGCTACTGCAATAGTACGAAATTTTTCATTCACATGGACCAGCGACGCACATATGCGACGGCCGGTTTCCATCCATAGACTGCAGTCGCATATTTGCGACAGGGTTATAATATTATTAAAATGCTCATATCTTTGTAATGGTCTATTTGTAGGCACTGAATTCCCTGCAGTGGTCTACAGAGATGTCTGACGCACAACTGCGTCGCTTGGTCTGTGGATATGATGATTGGTGACGTCATATGATAGTTGGAAAAACTGGTCTTTACTTTTCTGCATCACTGTATGTGTGTATGCTGCATTATCCCATGTAGTTTTTATATTTGTTCAGTTATAAACTGTTCTTGAATAATCTGTTTTTTTACTTACTTTCACCTCAAAACACAAACAAAAATGAACTGTCGCATATATGCGACGTTTGGTCTATTTCAAGAAAACTATGATAATTTTCACTATTGTTTTCGCTGTAGACCGGGCGTCGCAAATATGCGACATTACAAAAGGTTATAAAAAAAAAAAAAACAAGAATACATTATTTACAAACACGATTGTAGCGTATTGCAATGTAAATGATCACTGTTTTACAGGTTTTCGCCCGTGGTCTGTGTGTAGTGTTAACCAAGTGGGTCTATGTGTAAGATTCAAATGTATACCTCGGTATGTGCAATGACCGCTCAGTAGTGAACGTGTTAAGCGTTAAGTTATAAAAAACAGAGAAAAAGAGTTCCATAGGTTTACCCCGTTATGAAATTCGTAAGCTTTTAACAAGCATTTAGTACCGTTTTGTATTTTTTTATCATTTACCTCCTTCCCTAAAATACTTATACCTAACTTATAAAATAAAATAAAAGTCAGGGTACATGTCAACGCCAAAATCATAACTGCCTTAAATATCAAACTGTATATGCCATATTATTGTACTAGTTTGGTACCGCCAGAAATTATAGATAAGATTAAGATTGTTTGGACCATTAAATTGAGGACTTACACTTAAAACATAAGTTGTAGCTATATTACTGTATACAGATTAATGATTTACTCATTTTTTACCTGTTTGTTTGTACCACTAAAAGAAATGTACCACCTTCGGTACTCAGATATGACAAACTTCAGGTCTACGCCAGAAACACAAGCTCAATAATTTTAGAAAAGAAAACTACGTTATGATGCTGTGCTTCGTGCCTTTTTGTACCACTAAAAGAAAAATAGAGTACTACCTTCGTAAATGACTTATTGACCAATTTCAGGTTGGGGTACGGAAAACACTAGTTTTATATGTCACCAAATAAATTGTATCATAACTTTGCTCGATTTTCGTTCCTCCAAAAGAAGATTTTGTACCAAATTCGTAACAGATATATTTTCAAGTCCGGGTACTTTGATAGTTTGCGATGACGGTGCCCCCCCCCCTTAATTTGATCACCCTTTATAATACGGCTTGATTGAAGTCAAGATAAGTTGCTAGTAATTAAGGAAATAATAAATATAATTTATAATTACCACCAACAAGCAATCCCTTAGCTGTTTGGATGCACAAGGCCACAGTAAGAATGCACACGGGTATCTCAAATAATATTATGTGAGTAGGTAGACTATTAAAACTATAACTCACAGCACGATGTTTTCAAGCACAGGCATGTTGTAGTCCGCCAGGCGACATTCGGGCTGCTCCAGACCTTCAGCACAGATGTTGGGACAGGCGAGGTAGAGCAGCAGGCAGAACAGCCTAGTGAGGCAGCGCGCCCCAGGCAAGATCACCAGGCGAGTACGACGCATGGCTGTAGATGCAATACACAAAACAATTAAATGATTACAAGGCAAGGTAGAACCATGGACAGAATTAAATATAGACTGTCAGCCGTGCTGTGGTTTATACGATTCACATAAATGGGATGGCTAAATGGAGTTTATAAAGTCTATGGTGCAATTCCAGCGACCCTAAACGGCAAATCATTGGAATGTGGAATTTGGTAATCACGTAATTGGATTATTTTGTAGTAATTATGCTCAACTACATTAATCCGATTGTTCTTTTCTTTTGTTTTGTATTTGTAATGTGGTTGTTTAGATGATTCGTTGACTAACATAGGTGAGTTATGATTCTTTTGTTTACTTTTTGTTGTTATCTTTCAAATAATGTTATGGCGATCAATAAACCCATAATGCCCATGTTAAATTCACAAAAGTTTAAACTCATGAAGGAAAAAGCCCTGTAGTCCTATTCGTACCATTTCAGAAGAACCTTCCCGTAGATGGGTTCTATAACTGTGTTAAATCTCTCGCGTATCGCTTCAGTTGTTCAGGAGAAGTATTTGTAAAAGAAAAGCAGGAGTTTAGTACCATTGACTATTGGATACAGAAGTTGTATCAATAGTCAAAGGTAGCACTGTAAGAGATTCGCTAAAAAAGCGCAATTCACCGGCAATGTTATTTAAATTTAATACTATTGTAATACATAAACCTTTGTAGGTTTTATGTACATACAAATAATGCAAGGCTGTGTGTTTCATAAAATTCGTCGGAAACGCAATAGGCTTATTGTTTAGTTATACAAATTGTTGTCCGAATTTAAGACTTCGCTTACGTTTTCGCTTATGTTACGCGCAACCATCGTTATATTTAAGCATTGAATAAAAGGCGTTTTAAGTTTTCAATAGCTCTCAGTTAATATAGAAACTGAGAGCTCAATGCAATAGAAACTAATGGGTTCCAAAAATTAGTATTTTTTTTTACAATAAAAGGGGTTTTTAAAACATTGATATCAATTCATGCATTAAACAAGTCAATAAAATAATTCTCATAATCAATTATTATACATATTATTTTAAATGTGAAAATTTGTGTGTTTGTAAGCTTGTTCGTTTGAGGCTCAACCACGCTAACAAAAAAAAAAAAAAAAAAAAAAAAAAAAAACAGAAAGAAGGCATTATACACAACTTCCATCAAAGAACACTACTTAAAAAAAATTACAAACTCGACAACTGTACATCACAACACCTACTGGCCTACCTGTTGCTTGTAGGACGCTGGGGTGGGTTCTGGGCGCGCGGCAGGACCGGAGCTGTTTTATACCCTGGGAGACAATTTGTCGCAGGTGTTCAATCTCACAGCTGGGCGAGCCTAAGGGACATAACGTTATCAGCTGTTTGCAGCCGCACAATCACTGATAACCACAAGGTCGGGTAACGTGGTTATCACTCTTTTTCATCCCTCCATTCTTGGGCCCCACTCAAGCGAATGGAGTGTAAACGCCTTGTAGTGTCTTTCTTTGACTTTATATGATTCTTCGAATTGAGTTAGAAAAATTCATAGTATTCTGATAAGCACAAAATTATGTTCTGATTTTGTTATTTTTTCTATAGATTTTTGAACTTAAATTGAAATATAAGAATGAGTAATGAATATGAAGTTTGAAAATATTAGTCATTGCTTTCCATCTATTGCGTTATGAATTTAATTTAAAATCTCAAAATGCATTGAAAAAACAATTTATAATGGTATATACCAAAATGGCGAGGTTAGATAGCAACAAGACCAGTGTTGGACTGTTTTCAAGAAAAAACCAACAACAACAACACAACAAAACAATTATGATGGCATAAACCTCCCCCCGCCCCAAAAATTAAATATGTGTATTTTTAAATTGAAGGTTTGGTACTGTAGAATCTATTTTAAATTTAACATAATTTATTTTGAGGTAATTTGTAAACAGTTTTTTTGCATGATAAGGCGTTAAGGAAAGAAACTAAATAAAGAGAATTGTCATTGTCTATTGTCCAATCCTTCTAATATAGATCGGGCTTTAGTTGATTATTAACTAAGTTTTAAATGCAAGTGTAATGTAAAAGTAAATTCGACTCTTCGTTAATGGAAAAAATTACCTGCAGTTTAGCTTTTGCTTATTCTGCTCGTAAATTTTTTAAACAGAAAAATGTTCATTACTTTTTGTGAAACATGATCCAAAGAAGTTTCACGGACTCTTCTTGTATGTGTTTTGTACTAGATATACAATAAGCTAAACCTTTATACAATAATCTTTGAAAAGATTGTCTTCAAAAAGGTCGTACCCCAAAGAAATAGGCATTTAATAAATAAATGAATTGAATAGTGTACGAAACTAATTCATTTGATTTGATTATTAGTGACTCAGATAAAAACCTGTTTTAGTAAAACTATCTTACAGAGGAATTTGAAGCAATCATTGAACCAAAATCTTGCAAAAGCAAAGTACAGGTGTTTCTTGTAACCAAACAATACATGTTTTGGGGAACATTGTTTAATTTACATTTTGATAAAGTACATTAAAGTTTTACTTAACTAAATAAATAAAATAAATACTTAACTATTTACAGTAATTTTCTCTTAATCTTATGTAACTAGCAAAAAAACATACTCAATGAGTCTTACTAAGCATACATAGACTACATAGCCTACTTACTTAGTAACATAGAATAATCAACAGAGCAAAATATTACTATAACCAATCCTTAGTATAGTTTTTTTTAATTAGTTCTTTTAACACTACTCTGCTTGAAACTGTAAAGTTTGTAAAAGTTTGTGATCAATTGGGATCAGCTTAAGGCTACTAAAAGGCGTGTTTCTGAACGTAATGTTTACTAGTAGTTAGTCTTGAATTGCACTTCCACTTTTATGCTATTCTAACCAATAACAGTTAGATGTTTTTTCTCGGAATTCCTCTATTATGCAATTCTATTTACTCCAGTCAAAACCACTTTGTAAAATTAACGAAAAGTTTATTTAACCACCAATTTTAAATAATAGAGAAACTTACCACAAACACACTAAAACGTTACCGGACTTGTAGCTCAAGCCAAAATAATCTTCGATAGGAATAAACTGCAATTGGATGAACCCTCTACACACAGAATCCAAATTATTACATAACTTATTCCATACCATTCATTTTAATGTTAAACATCGTAGAGTATTCCTATAGTTACTGGTTTGATATCTATTCACCATTATGAATGATTTCAAGTACGAGGGTAGGTCTAATTCACAGCAATAACTGTGAAGAACAAGTTTTAATGGTTACAATGAAGCGGCACTCTTTTTGCCAGTTTTATGACAGCCATTATCTTTTTTTTAAACGTGACAAAGCTGTACACTTTCATAAATATTTGCGAATCTTAATAAAACCATTCCTTGCTCGATGAAAACAACGCGTTTTTTTAACGTTCCAGGATTAAGCTTCTGAATTATGCAGACCTGATCCACAAAAAGAAACACAAGGACTTTCCCTCACTTATTTCTTCTCTGCAGTGAAGGTTGGGTGTACAGCGTTACTCCTTGACCGCATACTCCGGGCAGCTTCGGTCACTCTGGTCAACTCTGATGAAGAACGCTCGTGAGATGTTGTTGCGATCTATAGCAGAATACGCCTTCTCCATCACCTCCAGCGGTGGCGAACGGTCCCGGGTCAGGATCCACGCGTTCCCTGCAGACATAGGAGTGGAGTGTACCAAACGGTAAATGTTTCAAGTTAAAAGCTAGTGGTGTCAACACACATAGTTCAAATCCAGCCTTTGGTGGAGAATTTGCTAATTCGGTAAAAGTTTCCTTCGCCTTAGAAACCCTTTTTCAAGTACCTACATAGGCTACAGCCTATTTTAGGCTTCGAACGCTGTTTCGTGACATTATTCAAAAGTTTGGTGTTTGGTGGGATTTTAATTTGGGCATCCAGAACAAAGTTCGAAACTATTTGGCCAGCTAACCCCATAGTTTATACAGCTGCAGTATAGAGACTGTCTTAAATTGGGTCGTATAACCTTTTTATTGCTGACCTGGTTTCATTATAACACTGTTCAGTAGAATAGTGGAATCACGCTGTTTTGAGCTTATTTTAGCTAAATTGTCCTGGACCAATTTTTTTACACTCCAAAATGATTCAAGTTATTAATTATTTCAGACAAATTACATAATGGCGGATAGTGTCTAAACTAATTTGAAAAAGAAAAAAATGTCACTGGATATTTTATGCTTATTTTGTTATGCATAACCTGGTTTTACAGAACCCAGTACTTATGTTTGTAACACCGTAATATGTAGGTATTGTTATTTACAGAATCACAGATCTTGGGATTGTTTTCACATTACTTCAGGCTAGTCCTAGAGGGTTGCGGCATTATCACATGGATAAAATCCATTGGTGGTTTGGCAGGATTTGAACCCGAGACCTTTAGGAACTGAAGTCCCACGCTCTAAACATTAGACAAAATATCAGATTGCAGTCAAGATATATTTAATAAACAATACTCACTCGTGCTGAGCACTGAACCAATGTCTACGCATGAGTAGACCACGGCGTAGTTGTCATAGTCAGTGTCGAGAATCCAGTGATTTACAGACAGGTCCACTGTAACACACACAATCAAAACATTACAAGTCTTATACGCGATTAAAGATTTACCTAAAAACGTTTTGATCAAAACTGTACATAGCTACTTTTTTCAATTGAAGTGTTTTTGATGACATTCTCATTAGAACTTCAATCAGGTAAGAATTTTTTGGTACCAGAAATATAAAGATAGTAAAATATTAAATTTGTCAAAGAAGACACAAAATGTTAACATACTTGGCAGGTATCGGACTATCATCTTGGCAGCTTCGCCTCTCTGGTCCGTCGGCCTCATCTGCCCCTTCATTGAGGAGTTTATATCGGTACTGTAACACACAATGTTATAGTTAAACAATGAAAACAACCACCAAGCAAAACCAATACAATTAAATATTTATATACAGCATACATGAAACATACACAATCAGATTTTGTTGTCGTGAGTAAAATCAAGTTCAAACAGCTGTCAAACCATAAAAGACCTTTTTACCAGTCAGAAATTAGTTTGATAGATTTTGGTAATATTTTATCGATCAGGCCTGTGTACCCGCAATAGTTCCATTTTAACGATTGTTATTGTGGCATGTACGAACAAATCTACGAAATAAAATAATGTCTTCTTAGATACGATTTTCTATGAAAAATCGTCCACTGTGTGTTACTGTTAAACAATTTTACTAGAATTTTCACTAAACCAAACCATAAATAAATGGCTTTTCGAAACATTGCCTAAGGATTGACCCAAGTATTTTTTAATCACGAGTCATAACAGCATAACAATAATTACGAAAATATAATATTGTAATTTTGCTATATTACGTTTATAGAACGTCTCACAAATGTTGGATATGTCACATTTTTACAAATACAGATTCTAACTACATAATACTCGTTTGACCGACAAAATTTAGTAAGTAGTTGACAGGTGTCCTTTTATTAGGAGTATTTTCTGGCAGCGATTCACTACACGATATGAATTGCTCGATTTCGAGCAGTAACTCACAGCCAGCTGGTCTGTTTGGTGAGGATCACCAGCTGCGTGTTGTTGTCTGTGCTGGTGTCGGTGATGTTGTTGGTGACACATTTACCAGCGAACTCCATCAGGTTGAAGTAACGCTCCGCCTCGTACCAGCGACCCAAGTACTGCAGACAATACAGTTGATACAGCTTAGAGGTCAAATTAATACAAGAGTCTATTTTTCCACCACCACATAACTGAAAATCAGTATCTGACACGCTGGAATTTGATAAGAAATGCCAAATGGGTTTTTCGTGAATGGGATTTAGATGTTATCACAAAATCTGGTTGTTAATCCAAACAAGTTATTTACACCAGTAGTATTCATGCAACGTTTTCATTCATGTTAAATTCAATCACATCTATAAAATTTATATTACAGTACTGTTCCGTCGTCTACAAGCCGTTGTCGCGTAAATAGCGACAACGTACTGCGTTTGACGACTACGCTAGCGCTACTAACATGTATCCCCGTAACTAAAGCGCGCAACAGTTCGTCTAGTCACCACTAGGTGTCACTGAGCCTAAATCTATAGAAGTGTGTTTATTAAACAATAATAACAAATTATCAAGAGACAAAAAACAAATGTTGCTTAAACTAAAAGAAAATACGATTTATAAGTGATAAGTTAATGTAAATTGTTGCGATTTAAAGCAAGGGGTTGTTTACTAGGAAAATTCTGTATCTGTTGATACTCGCAGTGATTTTTGAGTAGCTACTTGACTACTCCGATTATAAGCAACAGTACAGTCTAATAATGATTGATGGTATAGAATAGATTTTTTAAAGAGCCGAGAGTCGTGTCTCTTACCTGAGACCGATGATTGGCTTATAATCACTATAATTAATCAGATAACCTTAATTTGCTTCCATGCGCTAACTTAAATTGTTTCGTACTATTTCAGTAGCGAACGTGTTAAATACAACTCTTTCCTTTTAAGCAACAACATTAAATGCGATCAGTGAATTAGTGGTCAATGAACAAAATAAGATAAACATATTTTTATTTTCTGATACTAAAAGTAAATGATTCTGAGCATTTAAAATACGATTGAATGAGTTTATCGTATTTAAATTGTAAAGTGACCTTTTTACATAAAACATATTAAATCATGTACATATTTTGGGAAAAATCAATTGTAATCATATAGTAACCAAAAGTAAAACTTTGACGAGTGACAAATAGTTAAGTACTCTTGGTCCCGTCTCTGTATTTAGTAGCAACGAGTACAAAATACAACACAAATGTGAATACCTGATCTTTGCCAAATATCATTTAGCAAGTTTACTAAATTTGGAAATTGTCATACTTGATGAAAATTGACATTGATTGTGATGAAATTAGAAACACAGTTTCCTCACAGGTTGTGGATGCTTAGTAAAATTGTGTTAGTTGGTTCATGGTTCAAATTAGCTGTTGTCATAAATGTCAAAAATAATAGTGCTGCACCCTGTTGGTAAACCTTTTAACTTTTTAATGCTATTGTATATCATAGAACTAACTTGTTTAGTAAGAACAGCTGACCAAATTCTTTATTTCCTTTTATAATATGAACTAGAGATCGTCCAGTGGTCGAAAACTCGACAAAAAACAGTTGGGCCTACAGTTGGATTTTTTTAGCTAAAAGCGGTTGAGTTGAATGTATTTGAGGTTTTATCAAAACAAACAAACTGGCTTGCTGTCAATTAGGGACAATGCTGTATTATATTTATAGGGATGCACTGTGGATTCGATGCTCCCTGGTGTGGATTAACGTCCGCACTATTTTTTTATAGTGAGTACTACGACTATCCGCAGTACTATCCTGATAATTAGACCAATTCTTAAATTACAAGGAAAAAATGTGGTTCGGATTCCACTCAGTAGGCAGTTATACAAGTCTTCGGTCCATGAAAACTCTCTGTGATACGTCACTTTAATAGACTATTTGGATACTGAAGTAGACATCCCATCTACATGGACCAGCTATTAAAGTGGACCTGCAAATATGTTAAAGTGATATAATCAAATTTTATGTAAACGGCAATTCGAATAATGCAATGAATTTAAAATAAAGGCATATTAAAATGAAGCTTAGAGTGAGTAGATTTGACGAAAACTGTTGGTATCGACAAATTTCTTAGGAACTCTGCCCCTCTGCTCCACAGGCCGATTTCCAATGGGCTACGTCTGACGTGCTTTGATTTCATTTTTAATTTATTTAATAAAACACCTGGCCAATGTAATTAACTGGTGTGGTGTTTGTTTATTTACTCACAAAAGATGTTTGTGGTGCTTTATTTAGATTGTGGAAATGAAGGAAATGTATTGGGCATTATTTATTAGCGTTATGTGTGTTTAAAGGAAGCTTCTTATTAGTATTGCTCAAAGTTTCAATTTATATAGTAAGCTACATGTAAAGAGGCTTAACTAAAATTGAAGAATTATGGTCAAACATCTCATTCATGATGTGTCAATATCAAGTAATTGATGTTATTGCTACACTAAGGTATGTTGTCATATTCTTTTGGTTCTTTAACATTCTATTGGGTTTAACATTATTGGTTTCATATTGTATTAACATCAAAAAAGGGATTTTAAAGTATACTTAGCCCACTTAGTAGAAAGGGACTATACTTTTTCCACAAAGGATAAAGGTACCTAGTACAAATCTCGTCAAATTATTGATTGAGATCGACTTCAATGCATGGTTTATCTGAATTCACTTTACTAACGAGGAGTTTCTTTAAAAATCAATGTCGTTTAAACAATTGCAAATCTTTTTCGCTCTACGGTCATAAACGAAAAATGAACAAATCTTACTGCTATTTTCATATTGTATTAATTTCTACAATTTTTTTTCGTTTTCTCTTCGTCTTTTGTTCAGTCACAGCCCAACGTTTGTTACATACCTGTCTTCAGAGAACTATAAAACCTATTTTTTTGTTCAATAATGCAAATACTGGTTTAATAATTCCATTCAGGTATAGAAGGCCTACAGTGCCTAAACCACGAGGAAATTACCCTTTCAACTTGCCTTAAACTTTGTCCACTGTTAAACGCATTGAATGTTTGTTACTTGTCATTCAAATGTGAGAATCACCATTGTAGAAAGTAAGCTATTTCAAGTTGTGTCTTTATAACTGTAAAATCTATTTCTGAGAGAGTTAGAGATTTTTGACGGATCACTCTTACTTTCCCGGTGGCTTGGTAAAACCACTTTCTACAGGTTTCGACTCATTTTCTTAATCTGAAATTTCACGGTACTATACAAAATGAGATCGCCACAATTTGTTTTAGCTGTCACATGTTAATTGTTGCAACAACGAATGATCAGCTGTGCTTAAAACATCAATTAAACTATGCCATTTTAGTAAATATTATGCCCGAGGCTATTAACAATGAGATTTTGATGTGCAAACCTATTTTTAAAATAGTGGTTCTTGTGCAAAAACCCAGAGATTGTTTGGAACACATTCCACCCTTGGTCAACATGGCACTGTTCCAGATTGGAAAACAATGGTGAACTGGGTAAAATTATTTAGGATAAACGCTTAAACCTTAAAAATAATCGGTGGGTGCCGCAAAATTCTTTGTACACCAGCAAATGTTGAAAGAGTGCGAGCCGCAGTAACTCAAAGTCCAAAGAGATTTGCCAGGAAGCTGTTGTTGTTGAAAGCTTTACGTTGGCTCCTTTTTTGGAAGGGGGGGGGGTTTCTAATAAGCTACTTGAAGTTCGAAGTTTTTCAAAGTCACCCCACAGATTTGCTTGAACAGAAGCTAAGAATTGTCCAAGAACTAAAGTGATTCCTGAAGAAATGCTGGAGGAGTATTTGATGGAGTTTTCAAGTGCCTAATGTCAAGTAGGACAAGGACGTCACTTGCAGGATTTCGCTCTCAAGAAATGGAAATATGACTTTGTTAAGTTAAAATGGCAAAATATAAGCTGTGTTTTGATGTGCTATTTATATCCATAGGGTGAATATTATTGAGTTTGTACTGCTTATAAATTGGGGCGCTTTCATTGCCCCACCCTGTATGTGTCAAGATTGCAATACGTTATAAACACTCGCTTTGTTCATTGTTTACAACTAGAGAATAATGAATTCACATTGGTATTAATCACTGAGCTAGAAAAAATTTTTAGGTAGTAATGACAAGGCAACTCTGCTATAAAATGCTATTAATTTTGTTATGTTGGTACCAACTAGGGGAATCAGCTCATTGGCCACGAATTAGTTTGAATTGTTTGGTTAGTACAACTGTAGGCCGACGTCTCGCAATTCTCTCATTCAGTGCTACCTCTTGTATCTCCAGCTGAGTAGTATTGATATAAAGCAATAATTTAAAAATCAGCTGACTACTGTAGTTACCCTTGATAGAGTGAAGTTCTCCACAGTAGACACTGCGCTGCAGGGACCCAGGAACGGTACTTGGGCTGTAGCCAGGTGAGCTAGCGACAGCAAGACACAGCATAGTAACAGCATGGTCTGGAAAATAAGTACATTCACAGTCAAAACCGGTGCATTGTGTCAAAAACTTAATGTGTGTTTTAATATAGGTTTAAAAGAACCTTTTTTGACTCATAATTCCTTAACTACAATATTTTGCATTGGAAAACAATTAGACCTAGTATCGTATAGTAAATAACTTAATTTCAGTTATAAGGTCTTTCATATTGAGGTAGTAATTTACTCTTTACTCCACATAACCATGAGTGGGAGTTATCACAAAGTATTTAGCTTGATTTTGAGTCGGTGAATAAAGTCAATGTTCATTGGGTCATTGTGGAAATTGCTTGTTAGTAAAACATAAGCTTTACAACGATCTGTTATGTAGAATCTGCCCCGTGCTTAATGTGGGAATGAATATAGGCCACAATAATATCATACCCAAACCAAAAAGCGACTGGAAACACAATTTCTAGAAACAAGAAACATTGAAATTACTCGTAAATGTGGGTTGTGTAGTAACTTGTTATGATCTTGTTAATGTTAACACATAACCAATCGTCTTCTTGATCATCTTGTTAATCAGACTCTACCCCTTCCACTTCCTCACTAAGTGTGGGAGTGGGATCCTGATTCACAAACCTTCCGAAACGCGTGTTTACTCATCAATGACGAAATTATAAAACATAAGTTTTTTGCTACCAAACAATAGCTTAAAACAAAGAATACAGTATGTCGTGGAATTAAACAAATAATACATCCATGTTACTGATCTTACACAGATTATTTGTCACCCAATCTAATATTTCCAAACTTCAAAGTATAAGATTTTTGACAAGACCCATTGCCGCGGCCCCGACCTTGCCCGAGGTCATGATAAGACGGTGAAAGTGATAAGCCCGAAGCTTTCTACCACAAGACCGGGTCCTGGTTGTGGTTGAGGTCCTACATATCAAGGTCAAGTACTCTGGGTACAATTACCGGATCTGTCTGACAATATCGATATAATTACTGGGTATCGACAATATCAATTACTTGCTGACTGCGGATATTGTCAACTCCAATTACCAAATATTTATGTTAGTATTGTTGTCGTCAATCACCAGATTAGAACGAAAACAAATAATGTTTTCTCAATATCTAATTTAGTATAATGTATCACTTACTTTCCCTGGTTCGTAATATACTAATTAACTCGTATAAGATGATAGTTTATTGTTTTTACATAGTGTAATTTATATCGATTACCGGATTCATAATTAACTATCACTGCTGAAAATACCCGTATCGATGTTACTAACTACTGAATTTAGTTACATCCAGTGTCATTGCATACCAATTTGATTCATAACAGAACGTAAATAAATAAGACAAATTTCTTACCAATATACTATTTACTAGGCCGTAGCACCGATATAGTTTGTAATGACATAACACGTCTTGAATGTAAACGTTAATTTTTTACTGGGGACAGAAAAAGATTCCAAATCCCATAACTTTTCACAAAAGTGTTACAAAAGTAGTGTAAACATATTGTACTTCTTATAAACGTGTAAAGGAGTAATCCTAATTACCTCTAGTGTGTTTGTTATCTCACTAAAAGCTTGAGGAACAACTAACCATAAAATGGAAGAATTGAGTATAATCGGTATAAAAAGGAACTAAATTAAAATTGTTTATGAAACATTATTAGTACTTGTATTGTTCTTTTAAGATCTAGTTTTATTGACATTGGCGTCATAATATTCATAAATTTAACAACAAACTTGTCTATTTCACAAGTAAAAACAAATTTCCCAATTGGTTTTTTGGTAAAATAATACAAATCAGATCGGTTCTCGGATTTTCTCTTAAAGTTAGTACTTAACACTTTAAACATGAAGCATCTTAAAAGTAAATGTTAATTTCATAAAACGCTCAAACATTGGAGCTCTCTTAATGTTTAGATAGAGTTAGTAACTTGTGTTCACATTTTAGCCTTTTCTGAGTGGAAAATCTTATTTAAAACTATAATGCTAAACATAGATCTAAAAATCTAAAGACAAAGGAGAGTACTACCTTGGGTGGTTGCGGGTGCGGGTGCGGGTGCGCGCGGAGAACGACTAACGGAGGATTGTGGGTCAGAAGGCTCAGGAAGAGCATTTCACCGGGTACCTTTCCACCGCGACCCAACTCTCTGTAGAGAGCTAGACGAGCAAAGAGACAAACCCGCAAAAAAGCGTAATCATTGGATTTAATAGCATCCTGTATTACAGTATTCGGATAAGTGTAAAGTACAACTCCAGGTTGAAAATAACAAGGTAGGATATTTTCGTTGAGCAGTTTGAGTTACACTTCAAGGGGATACGAGTATGTTTACTACTAATAATAATTGTAGTAGACAACTTTAAATGGTAGTTTACGCAACGATTACGTAAAGAAAATTTACGCAAGTTGCGTACACTACTTTACCTAAGACAGTATTTAATTACTAAAAATTACTACTCATAACTTTTAAGAGAGGCTATGTTTTCAAACCTCTCATCGCCACTGATGCAACGACTCGTTGTACCAATCACTCATTAATTGAATTGATCTTAAAAGCTGATAAGTTGATATTTGAAGCATTAACATTTTACTTTATTTCTCTCAGTCCTTGAACCTTATTGGTCCGTTACTAGTGTTGTAAAGTAAAAAGACAATGCATGCTGTAAAGTGAATATGTTAATTCTAAGAACTGAACTGAAAAGGCTAGTTTAAAAAATAACTGTCGTAATTTCATCACTAGGAGCGAAGTGGTTTTTTTTTTTACCAAAAAGACACTTTTGTTCCGTGTGATGGGCAACTATTTTCATCATACTGTGAAAATAACCTTCTAATCGTTACAGAATTAGACCACATAATGGGGTTATATAAAGTCGGCATCAATGTTTACATTTCTGTTGTTTACAAACATAGCTTAAAATATCGTGTGGTTGGCGAACCAAAAAATTTACCATATGTTTTTTCTGTTCCCTATTTGAAATTTCCCAAAAACGATGATTTTGCGGACGATTTTAGAGAACTAAAATTGCTGTTTTCCAGACAGTATGATGAAAACAAAGTTGACATTGTGCTGTAATAATTTAGTGTAGCGTCAAATTCATCACGATTACATGAGTCCTGATTGTACTGAGGCAAATATATATTCTGTACCGGTTTAGAAAAGTTTACTGAGAATATAATGATTTCATTTCTAGGGCCTAAAGTGACTTCTTTCGGCACGAGCTCAAGTCAAAAGACTCACGAACTCCAACGAAGCCGCAATAGGAAAACGAGCAAAGTTTGAAAATGCAAGATTGCTGTGAGGTATGATGAACTATACATTTTTACATTCAAGCTAACTAATTCGTAAAACAAACTCCGTCAACAAAATTTAGGCAGTTTTAGAGGAAGAAATTTATCCCCTCGACGCCTTGATCCTACAACTAAAACATATCTGAGATTTGTCAAAAACTTCGATCAGCTGCAACATACATTAAACAAAAAAGTGGTGGGAAGATTAAATTTTGTGAACGGGTCAATAGGTTATCTCCCAAAATAGCTTACATCGTTTGTCTATTATATACCAACATATGATTCCATGATATTCTACTATATGGTATATTACGACTAAGATCTACCCGTGTCATCTTGTCATATACAAATTAAATGGCAATTCAGCCGATAACAGAACAAAAATAACTCGTACCTACGATCAAAATCATTAAATTTTATTTTAAAAGTGAGAACCTCGACTCACCATAGGAATAAAACAAAAATCATTTACCACCACAAGGCATGTATTTGAAAAAAGGTTGTCCCTGCAATATGACAATAGTTTACTTCACTACTAGTCTCGAAAGTGACCCATTTCGGGGCTCGATAGTATTTCCCATGCTAGTCTTAGACTCGCATGTAAAACACTACAGTATTTCGCCCCGAAATGGGACTTTCATGACGAGTATTGAACGATACTTTATATCACGATGAAAAAACTACTTCATCAAACTTTTAAAAAATGTCTGAAATTTCGTAATCTATTCATTTTTCTTCAGTTGTAACTTTGTTGATGTCAGGCAAAGCATTGCTTGTTTAGCGAAAGTAGTGTTTATGTCAGGCAAAGTCAGCTGATTTTCTAGAATTTCGCTTTATTTTAAATCACAAACCAATTTTCCGGTGTTTGTCTGTTTACTTACTGGACACCATGTATTTTCAGAGTTAAAGTATATGGATATAGCTACAACTGTGAAATAGTATATTTTACCACTAGGACTTGACTTCGTGACGAGAATTGAACGATTCTTTTTATCACGTTAAAAAGAAACTACTTCATCAAACTTAAAAAACCACGGGGACTTCGGTTTTAACTTTGTTGATGTCAGGCGAAGTATTGTTTGTGTAGCGAAAGTAATATTTATGTCAGGAAAAGTCAGCTGATCACTATTTGTTTTTGGTGTATGGAAATTGACGATTTTCGAAGATCTCAACATAGATTGTGTATATATTGTATAGATATTGATGTTTTCGAATACAGAGTGACGAAAAAGGCTTTTTTCGAAATGTAATTTGCTGTTTTAGGAACGTGAAATCAAATAGGTGGGGTTTTTTAGGTCATGGCCATAAAACATATTTTAATCTCAGGGTGATCATTAACGACGGGGCTGTTTAAAGATTTGGACTTTGTTTCAAAATTTGATAGAAAAGAAGTAAGGGGGACAAAGTGATTTCTCCTCCTCTTTAACTTCTTTAGTTTGTGAATATAGTATTTCTAATATTGTAATAGATTGTGCGATTTACGTGTATATATTTGGTTCGGTCTCATTTATGCATATACAGGGCATCAGCAATATGGCATATACATTCTCACTTTAGCTGGTCAACAACACTTATGATAGGTAAGTGTGGTAGTAACTATGGTATTTTATGCCAAAAACCACGAAAGTCGAAATAGTTTTTGAACCGTAATTTTGAAAGTATTGGAGGTTATACCATTTTGTCCAGAGTTAAAAGGGCCATAACATACTCAATTTTAATCAAAATTGTTTGAACCGTTATTTTGAAAATCATTAAAAATTAAAATTCAAAGAAAGAATAACACACCTGAAGACACCATGGGTCACCTATCACCCACACACGACTTCATGTTTTTCTTAAATAGGTCTCATCAAAAATGTTTGGAGAAATTCAAACCAAAATGTTTATGAAAAACAAAATTGTGAGTATCTAGTCGACAAAGCGTGTTGGGGAAATCTTTATTCTTAATTTTCTCTTTATTTTAAATCATAAAACAATTTCCCTGTGTTTGTCTGTTTATTTACTAGTTACTATGTATTTCCAGAGTAAAAGTGTATGGTTATAATAGCTACATCTGTGAAATAGTACATTCACAACTAGGACTTTCGTGACGAGTATTGAACGATAATTTTTATCACGATGAAAAAAAAACGACTTCATGAAACTAAAAAAAACCATGGGGACTTAAGTTGTAACTTTGTTGATGTCAGGCAAAGTATTGCGTGTGTAGCGAAAGTAATGTTTATGTCAGGAATAGTCAGCTGATCACTATTTGTTTTTGGTACATTTTTTTCTTTTTATTTTTTTAATGCTTTTACGCACACAGGTAGCCAGCCTGTAGTGTGAGACTCCTGAAAATTGTCAGACTACTCACTAAAAAACCCCCTCTACTCTGTTGGACACAGACCTGGAATTGTTTGTCACATTACTTCAAGTCAGGCCAACATGTGACCTAAGCCCTCAGGGCTCGCACCGTTTCTGGCATTTAGATTCTTAATGACCTACACCGCATCCCGGTCAAGGTCGATCTTCTTGGCGCGGAGAATACCCTGGATATAATGTGACACACAGTTCCAATTGTCCCCCCGTCATAATCGGTATGACCGTGTCCACCGACAGCAGTCCTATTAATTGTTGAGCCTCCAGGCGGGGCCTTTCCCAGCGCTGGCAGTGGAAAAATGTATGTTCCACGTCATCGAGAATGCCTGGGCAGTATATGCAGTCGGGTGACACGGCTTTGCCCATCCTGAACAGGTACGACCGGAAAAAGCCGTGTCCCGTCAGATGCTACCCTCAGTGCTGCCTGACGCTGCACTCGGGCGAGCCGCATCCTGTATGCCTCCTTATTTAGTGCGTCTGCCCACACCTCCGCACCGTACAAGAGTACGGACTGGACCGAAGACATTAACAGCCTTCTACGACTGGACCGAGGCCCTCAGACATTGGCCATCAACCGGCTAAGAGAAGAAACCACCCTAGCGGCCTTGTCCGCTGTACGGAAGATCTGATCCCGCCAGCTAAGCTTGCTGTCTACCATGACCCCAAGATACTTGGCAGAACGAACAGTTTGAACCTCAACGGCTCCGACCCTCAACGGCACGATGGTGTCAATCCGTTTTTTTGTCAAAATCACGATCTCGGTTTTGCTCAGAGCAAGCGAGAGACCGTGATCTGCCATCCATGCGTTTATGGTACGCATAACTCGGTTTAGCTTTAGCTGAGCCAGCTCAACGCTACGTGCAGCTATCAAAGCTGCAACGTCGTCTGCGTACCCAACCAAGACCGTTTCCTCAGGCATTTCAGACCTCAGAAGGCTGTCATAAGCGACGTTCCAGAGGTCTGGGCCGAGTATGGAACCTTGGGCAGCACCAGAAGTGACACTCATCGTCCGCGGGCCCTCCGCAGAGTCATACGTTAGGAGGCGAAACCGAAGATAGTCCTCTATGATGCGCATGAGGTATGCCGGCACGTGGAAGGTGTTCTCCAGAGCATCCAGCATATCGCACCACCTCGCCAAATTAAATGCATTTCGCACATCGAGCGTTACGAGCAGCACAACCCTGCGAGAGTAGTGGGTAAAATCCTCAGCTCTCATCACGGCTTGCTTCACCTCCTCAATCGCATCAATCGTTGATCGCCCCATCCTGAATCCATACTGACGAGGGGAGAGGTCCCCAGCAACGACAACGGCTGAATTTAGCCGGGAACGGATCAATTTCTCGAGGACTTTGCCAGCCGTATCCAACATACACAGAGGTCTGTAAGAGGATGGCAGATCTGGGTCTCCCTTGCCCTTCCCAACAAGCACAAGCCTAGCTGTCTTCCAGCACAAGGAGAAACCCCCTTCA